CCAGGTCACCCCGCGCGGTGGACGGTGGGCGGGAGGGGGCAGCACTCGCAGGGCGGCAGCGAAGGCGCCTTCCACGTCCGCGGGGCAAGACCCCCACGAGGCAGGGCGCAGGCGCAGCTGCCCCCACCCCCGCGGCAGGGCACCGGCCACCGGGCGCCGCTCACCCCGGGATCTGCCGGCAGATGACCAGCAGGTCGTTGAAGAGGAAGAGGTAAATCTCCCGGAAGAGCTTCTTGGTGCGCAGGGTGCGGGAGGTCTTGGGGCCCGACATCTGCTGCAGCTCGCCCTGCTTCAGCAGCCAGCGGGAGTGGGAGATGATGGGCACCGACTGCGGGGGGCGGGGGAGCGTGTCGGGCTGCGCCCCTCGGTGCCGCTCGGCCCCCCGGGCAGTGAGCCAGTGGGCGCCTGCGAGCCCGGGAGGCAGGGGCTACCCTGGCAGCTGTGGGCACGGCTGCGTGTGAGTGGCTGAGTGTGAGTGCGTGGCGGTGTGTGTGTGTCTGTGTGTGTCTGTGTGTGTGGCTGTGTGTGTGCATGGCTGTGTGCATGTCTGTATGCGTGTGGCTGAGTGTGCATGTGGCTGTGCGTGTGGCTGTGTGTGCGCGTGGCTGTGTGTGTGCGTGGCTGAGTGTGTGTGCGTGGCTGTGTCTGTGCGTGGCTGAGTGTGTGCGTGGCAGTGTGTGCGTGGCAGTGTGTGTGTGTCTGTGTGTGTGTGTCTGTGTGTGTGTGGCTGTGCGTGTGGCTGTGTGTGTGCGTGGCTGAGTGTGTGCGTGGCAGTGTGTGTGCGTGGCTGAGTGAGTGCGTGGCAGTGTGTGTGTGTCTGTGTGTGTCTGTGTGTGTGTGTCTGTGTGTGTGTGGCTGTGCGTGTGGCTGTGTGTGTGCATGGCTGAGTGTGTGTGTGGCTGTATGCGTGGCTGTGTGTGGGTGCATGGCTGTGTGAGTGTGGCTGTGTGTGGCATGGCTGTAAGCGCGTGGCTGAGTGTGTGCAGGGTGTGTTCTTCCGTGGCACAGCTGCCTGTGCGCTCCTGTGACTGTGCGAAGTGTGGGCGAGGGCAGGTGCGCGCAGGCAGGTGGCTGTCAGCTCCAGCTCAGCCCCGGGCTGTGGGGTCAGAGCAGAGGCCGAGCTCAGGGCCAGGCCAGAGCGGCCCCCGGGGGAGGGGCCGGGTGTGCGGGGCCCCACTGCGTGGCCGGGGCAGGAGCCAGGCGTCAGGGGTGGGCTGGCCAGTGGAGGTCCTTGGCACCGCAAGGCCAGGTCTGCACCTTGGGGCTCAGCCCCCAAACCTAGTGCGGGTCCTCGGTGGGCTCATGTGTCCACGTCTGAAACCCAGGCCTGAGGGCCCGTGGACTCCTGAAACTCTGCCATGCTGGAGGAGGCTGGTAACCGCCGCCAACCGCTCAACCCAACCCCAGCCCCGGGCCCCGGCCGGCCTAGGCCTTCACCATCCCCTAGGGCCCGCGCCCAGGGCTCGGGGCGGCCTGCAGGGGGCGAGTGCGAGCTCAGGGTGATGACGCAGCGTGCGGCCGGCTCACCTTGATCTTGAACTCCATCTTCTTCTGGATGCTGATCATCTGCTCCGTGCGGCTCATCTTCCTGACGCCCTCGTTGCACGCTTTCACCACCTGGAGGGAGGCGACTCTCAGGCCCTGTCCCGCCCCCCAGTGCCCAGGGCCACCGTGCTAGGCATGGTGGAGCTCCTTCCTCTGGCACCGTCTGGGACACGGCACCCTGCAGGCCGTGGCGGGGTCTCGGTTTCGTGGAGCCGGTCAGGCCCTCGTTAGAAGTCAATTCTGGGACCACAAAATGGCGCCCGAGCGCTCACATCCCCTAAGAAGGCCAGCGGCCAGGTGCCATTCTCCGCGGTCCCACGGACGGGCAGAGGAGCGGGCGGACAGTGCCCAGGGCTGCTGAGGCGCAGGGGAAGGCAGCTCCCCGCCACCCCCCGCCCCAGATCTCGCAGAACACATTTCGGGGTTTCGTCTCCGGAGCACAGCCCGGCGGCTGGGCTGACGATGCCCGTGAGCCAGCTCCGTGATGCTCGGGCTGGCAGCAGGCTGGCTCGGGCCGCCGACCGTGGCAGCACCCTGGTGCGCGTGGCGGCAGCCAGAGCGCTCCGGCTGGGACCCCAACACCCGCCTACCTTCCCGGCTTCACACTGAGCACGTTCTGACGGGCTTCTGCATGGAGCAGCAACTGCTTTACAAATTACTAAAAAGCCCTCCTCTGTTTTTGAATAAAAGTAACCTATGGCATACTTTCATCAGAAGGATGATGAAATCTGAGAACTTAAGAAGCAGACCATGCTCACCGCCCCCGCGGGCAGGGCTGGGCAGCCGCTGGGCAGCCTTCCGGCCACTCCCGGGCCGTGTGCCAGGCGCTGAAGTCACCCCTGGCCCTCCCCGAGCTGCCTGCCCCAGGCTCGCCCTCCCCCCAGGCTGGGGAGGCTGTGCTGTTCCCCACATACTCGAAGGGGTCACTGCCAGCGGATCTCCGTGGCCAGAGGCTGACGGGAAGCCGAGAGTGCTTGAGGCACAGCCTGGCTCAGAACCCCCGTGGGACACCCCTAGGGCCTGTCCTGCGACTCGGCAGCAGCTGCTGGGACAGGCACGGGCCTGTGCTCTGCTCACCCCATGACAGGTCCCTGGGACGACAGTCTCCTAGTGCGAGTCCCGGCGGCCAGGAGCTCACACACGAGACAAGGAAGAAGGGCTTAAGAGCTGAAAGTGGAACGCCATATGGGCAGTAAAAATGCCCAGTGCCTTCCCAGCAGTCAGACACAGGCTGCTTGGGCCGGGGGAGATGGCTGGGCAGAGAGGCATGTCGTGGGCACTCCGTGGAATACTGTGCAGCTGTTAAGAAGGTGGGACCTTGCTTTTTGCCAGTGACCTCGGTGAAATAAGCCAGAAAGCGAAAGGTGGTTACAGGGTCTCACAGACGAGGACTATAAACCACCACTCAGCAAAACAGAAAGTAACTCTTGGGGCCCTCCCTGGTGGCACAATGGGTTAGGACGCAGCACTGAGCTGGCCAAGCCACTTCAGTGCGAGTTAGATCCCCACCCCAGAGGTGACCCCCAGGGCGCGGCGCGGCAGACCTCTCCTGACCCGCCCGCTGCTCCCCTCAGCAGTGGACTCGGTCAGTCGGCCTGTTCTGCTCCCCACTCTGTCTCTGGCGAATCCTCTCGCCACCCCTGCACCTCTGGCCTGGACCCCAGCTCTGTGCGCATAAATAAATAAATCTTAAAAAAAAAAAAAAAGAAGAAAGAAAGTAACTCTTGGCTCTAAACAAGCATGGCAGGAGCCAGAGTGGGTGCAGGGGCGAACGTGATCTGGGAGTGGCGAGAGTGCTAGTGGCGGGCGCGGGGTCGCTCGCCACACCTGACCCCGCTCTCACACCCAGTGACTTCCCGCATGGCAAGGGCAGCTGTGGAGTAAGTGTGCATTTTCCGAAGACATCGTTTTGCAGACAGATGGGAAATCTTTCCAGTTCCACTGGAAAGCTAGAAGCAGGAAGGAGCGCGGAGGGCGGGGCGAGACGGGTATCCCGCTCCCCTCGGGCGGCCCGTGGGCCTGGTGTGCCGGGTCTCCTTGCGCCCGTGACTCAGACTCGGTGGGTGTGCGCGTCCCAGTCACCCACAGGGAGCAGCGCAGGAAGGGGGGTCTGGGGGGAGGCCCCGGGGCGCCACTCACCATCTCCAGCTCCTTGTGGGCATCCAGGGCGGTGCCCTCCCGCTCTGACTGCTCCTCCACGCGCTTGAGGATGTTCTGCGCACAGGGGAGCCCCGTTACTCTTCACGGCCCCCTCCCTGCACCCCCAGGTCCCAACGGCCTCGAGCTGCTGCAACAAGTGCCCCAAGAGGCCCAGCCGTGCCGGGCGGCGGCCAGCGAGGCCTCTGCAGCCTGAAGATCTAAACCAGGTGTCCAGGGCCCAGCGGAGCCCGTGGCCTCGCGCCTGGGCTGAAGGGGCCGGTGGGCGGGCGGCAGGCGGGGCGGCAGTGGGCTGTCCACGCGGGGCCGGCCCGCTCCCGGGGGCTCGGGGGCCCAAGGGCTGTGTCCCGCGGCTCTGCTACGTGGCTCTCGTGGGTGAACATGTCCTGCCCGAGAGCTGGTTTTCTTGACTGGCATCATGCCAGGCTCACCGGGCCGCGCCGGCCAGCGCGTGGGGGTCCTCCTCTGCCCTGCTCCGTCCCTGGGCAGTCTGAGGGCCCCGAGCAACCCGCGGTGGCCCCGAGCCGCGCCCGCACTCCCCGGGGTCCTCGGTCTCCCTCCTGTGCTCCTCTGCCCGCAGGCACACCTGGCCACACACACCCGCCAGCGTGGGGTCGCCAAGCCTGTCACTAAGCCCCTGACCCCCAGCTGACTCCAGCTGGCCCGTGTCGGCTCCCCTGTGGCTCACGGCTCCCTCCCGCCAGGTCCTGCGCTTGTCAAGAGGCCACCTCGCCTCTCACCAGCGTCCTCTCTGGCGGCCCCCAGCCCCGCCTCATGCAGTGACCCACCCCACCCACCTGCTGAACCCCCTTCCTAGCCCCCACCCACTCAGGGCACACAGAGCACGCAGGCCAGCATGGCTGGGGGGGGCGTGGGGGCGGGGCTGGGGCTCTGCCTTGCGTGGACCCCACCCCGAACCTCCCCCGGCCTCCTGCCCCAGCTCTGCCTCTTCGTCTTCCCTCACTGCTGCTCCCTCCTGCCCCTGGCCTGGGGGCCCCCTGGGCCCCCCCCCAATGTTGAGCCTCAGCCTCAGCCAGACACGCCCACGGGGCCCCTCCTCCCTAACTGCACCACCTGGCGCCACCTGACTCCCCGGGCTGCCCCCCAGGCGCCCCCTCTCCAAACTGCCACCCTCTCCCACGCCTGCCCTGCCCTCCTGCTCTCACCGGCCTGGAGCGTCACCCGGTGCCGCCTGGCCCCGCCCCTCTGCTTCTCACCCTCGCCCACCTCCCCCTGCGCCCGC